AGAAAAGTGTGGCTAGGATAGTAAGTGCTCGATACAGTTTAGATATTATGACTACAGTAAATATTATTGTGTAGCTCAAATTCCTTTTACCAGCATACACATCCTTCAGCTGTTTTCAGTGTTGATGCTTAAAGATCACAGCTAACTGCTGTTTTTTTTTTTTTTTTTTTTTTTTTTAAGACTTGCTCTTGTGAAGAATGAGGAATCTAGATGAAGAGATTGCAACCCATCCTGCCCTCTGCTGCTGGCAGCCAGTGACTGATAGGTACAAAAAACTACAGGTCCTTTCTACCTGTTTCCCTCCCCATTCCCCAGCATGGAGCAGACTAGACCTAGATTTTTCCCAAGGTCACATTCTTGCTTTACTACTACTTCCCTAATCGTCTTTCCTTCTTTTAGAAGTTACTTTTCTTCCCCTAAAAATCATTTTTAAAATAAACCACATTCACTTGGATCACTGTCTCTGGCTTCTAGTAATCTGACCTACACAAGAACCATATTTCTTTGATTTTTGCTGTACATACTTTCACATTTTAACAAGTTTGAGGTCAGACTGTATCTTAAAGTCACTGTAAGCTAGGGTCAAGTTTTCATTTTCTGCACATTGACATGAAAATGTACAGAACCAGTGTCAAGTCTTTGAAGAAAATCCTTGGATAAGAGTGGGGCATTCTTTTGCTGCATCTTCAACATTCTTGATGGCACAGAGGACCATGCTTTGTGGAGAAAGAGTCAGCAGTGATTCTGAGTTGAATAGTTGGAAAAGTGAGTCAGACTAAATGATTAAAAATATTAGAAATATTTTGGCCTATTTTGCTTTTACTTTCCTTTTAATATATGCAAAAAATTGTATGTAGTACATTTTATTGAAATAATTCTAAAAGAGATCTTTCAAAACTGCAACAAAAAATTCTATGTGACTAGTGTAACAAAGATGATACTCCAGTGCAGTGGGGAAGGGATCTTGCAATGAAGGCTCTGGGTGTATTGGATGTCTGCAATGAGGGAAAAAAGCATCATCCTTCTGACACCATACCCAAATCAACAGCAGTTAGATTGTAGATCTAAAAGTGAGAGGTAAAATAATGAAACTACTGAAACATAACATTAGAGACTTATCTTCTTGAGCTTGGGTTGGGTAAATATTTATTAAGCAGAACCCCAAATGCTTGAATTTCTTTAATTATAAAGAAAAATAAATTGAACTATATAGGAATTAAGAGCATTTCTTCATCAAAACACACCATTAAAAGAGTGACAAAGCAAGTCACAAGACGGGAGAAAATATTTACAAAATGGATATCTGACAAAGGGGTACAGTCCGTGCAATTAAAAGAACTCCTACAAATCAGTAATAAGATAAACATCCTAATAATGAGCAAAAGCATGAACAAACAAGGATATAAAATGGTCAATAAACATATGAAAGGCGCTTCTTTACTCATCAGGAAAATGCAAATTAAAACCACAGTTGATAACACTATCCATGAGAAGGCTAAAATACAAATATATCAAGTTGTAAGCTGATTTAGCTATTGGAACTGAAACTCTTAAATATTACTGATGGGAATGTTAACTGAGCAACTATTTTGGAAAAATATTTTGGCAACATCTGTATATATTCTGATCCAGCAATTCTCCTTCTAGGTATGTATGTACCCAGCAGAAATGTGTATACTCAGCCAAATAAAAGTACAAGAATGTTGATAGCAGCATTATTTGTAAAACCTTCAAAATACAAATAGCCAATACCTGTCAAGGGGATGGATCATTATGTGTATTCATATAATGGAATATTATATAGCAATGAGAACAAATATGTTCTAACAGCATGTATTGGTGAACATCATCAACATAATGTTGAACAAAGCCAGACTCAAAAGAATATATGATGTATAGTTCTAGTTATATAAAATTCAAAACTAGGAAAAAGTCTTTGTGTTGTTAGAAGCCAGGATGATGGTTACTTTTGGAGGAAGTTAGTAATTGACAGCAGGCATACAGGCTTTCTAGGGTTCTGACAATGTTCTAGTTCTTAATCCAGGGTGCTGTTTACATGGGTGTGGAAATTGATTAAGCTTTGATGATGAGTTTCATACTTTTAAGTATGTGAAATGAAAGCATTGCCATTGTTTAACTGGCAGCAGTATCCCCCCTTTTCTAGCAGTATTTAGATAATGATGTGTCTTGTAATTGATGGCATCTTGGTTGAGGTAAAATATTTTCATCAGTGGTCAAGTAGTAATAGTTCCCTAACTATAGTTCCCTAACATCTGTCTTACTCTCACTTTTCCAATTCATCTCAAATGCTCAGTGTGGCACCCCATAATCTCTTAACTTTTTTCTTAAGAGTAAAACTGATTCTTAGCTTGATATGTATTCACCTAGAAAAAAAATTATCCTGCCCAGGCTCCTCTGCTCCTAGGTATGGTCAGTGTGATGACATTTTGGTCTCTATCAGAGGAAAGGGTATGGAGTAGTGTGCAGGAAAGTGTTAGCCGCCTCAAGTTGCAAATCTTGCAGTTTTCTTAGAAGGGCCTGTTTCATGACTGGCCCTTGGCTGACTCCTCAGAATTGAGCCCTTAGAGTGTTTTAACTGATGAGTGCTTTGCATGAATCACATTATACCCGTTTATCTGGATAGTTTGTGCCAACAATGTGTTATGATGGATACCTGCTTTCCTTTTTGGGGTCTGGGACTCCAGTGACTGTGGTCAGTCATATAGAAACTATATACCTATGTGACTGACACCTGATAAAAGCCCTAGATTCAGAGGAGCTTCCCTGACAGACCCCTGCACAGAATAGGTTCTCACAACTTGTTGCTGGTAGAAATAAGTGCTTCCTGTGTGACTCCACTGGGAGAGACTCTTGGAAGTTTGCCCTTGGTTTCCTCTGGACTTCACCCCATGTATTTTTCCTTTGTTGAATTTGCTTTGTATCCTTTCACTGCAATAAACCATAACTGGAATGTAATGATTTCTGCATCTGGTAAGTCCTTCTAGTGAATCACCAAATGTACAAGTCTTGGGGAACCCTGGTGCCGATGGTGTAATATAATTCAAAAAATATTCATTCCTCTCCTTCAGCTTTCATAGAAAGAGAATACTTTCCATGTGATTGATATTGAACTTGACGATGTGACTTTCTTTTGGCAATGGCATGTAGGTAGAAGAGAGTTTTTGTTAATTCAAACCTTATACCATAAAAGGCATTGCACATTTTTGTTTGCCTTTCTGGGAGCATTTGAACTCCTCCATGGAAAGAACATGTTTCTAGAAGCTGTTGAGTTTATTAGCCTGGGCAATAGAGTGAAGACACATAAAGCAGACCGAAGTCCAAATCATAGCGTGGTGCCAAGGCTGGTCAGATTAGCAGCCTGAAGCAGAGCCACCCTGCTGAGCCCAGACTAGATCAGAGCCACAGGCATGAGAATACTTTAACCCAGCATTATTGGTAAAGACTTAACTGATACAGGCATTTCTGGAAACCTCATTAAAGACTGCGGGTGTATATCTTCTCTTTGTCTCCTTTGCTGTCTGGAAATCCAGATTTGGTCCTAAAGCTCTATCTGATTTTGTGGGTAGTGATGAGGGAGACCAGAACCTAGAGATAGCTGGAAGGCACATGGAGCCCTAATGACTCTGTGGAGCCACCACGCTTCCAAGTTTTGGGTTAGATTTTCTGTCATGTGCAGCTACACTTAATTCTAACTAACAGCAAATCCTTATCCACCAATAGACTCTTAAACTATTAGACCTGAGAGAGACAAGTCAAATGAGGAAAGCTCAGGCAAAACACTTTTACAGTCTCCTGGAAGGTCTTGGGCAATTTTCTGAATATGAATCTGTTACCAGTTTTAGTATTTCCCCCAAATTTCATGCCTAAGAGAATTTCCGACTCTAGAAGAATTTTTTTTTAAAGCTACTGCTAATCTTTGGGATAGTTTATCAATTTCTTTAAAAAGAAGTTTTTCTTTTCCTGTCTCCAAGCTCTTTCAAATGAAACCTGAGTGAAAGCCAACATGTAAAATAATCATGAGCCAAAATACTCTGAAAGAAGGATGGTGACAAAGTGTGGCATTATGCATCTTCTTTCTCTTTGTCCCAGAGTGGTCTCCCCCAAATTGCTCTGGCTGTGTGATGCCCAGGACTGTAAGGGGTGTGGGTAGAGGTGGGGTGGCAGGTTGAAATCCTATGCATTTTCAGAGAGGGAAACAGACTCCCTCCCCCTCCAAAAGAAATCAAAGGACCAGATTTGGGTTTATTTCCAAGAATCAGAGGCATCCAGTGATAGGGTGGTCTGCCTTGTGAGGAGGTGATGTTCCCATCCAGAAGTGGTATCCCTTTCATCTCTGGATCCCACCCCCACTTTTCAGCCAGCCCAGGGCTTTGCTTGAGAACACTTTATTGAAAGTCACATTATTATTTCCTTCAATGCACTCTGTCTTCCATCAGGGGTGGAAGGGAAAGAGTGAGGCAGACAATTACATTGCTGATGTGGGATTTTTAAAGGGAAATTATGGGGACTACCCAGGTGTGGTGAAAACTCCTCACTGTCTTCCCATGGGACCCATTATTTTGCAAACTGCAACTATTAAAAATGATTTAAAATCACTTGCCAACTTTATCATGCTGTTAGATTCACTTGAATCCTACCTAGCTCTTAAAAAGGGTACAGGCAGTCAAAGCATGTTCACTCTCAAAATGGTGTGGAATATGATGTCTGCTATTTAGAAAGCTGAAATCTACTACACCATCAATGGCAATCTTCCCGACATTCCCTATTCTATTTGATGTTATTTCCTATCTTCTAGATTCTGTCTCCTGTATCACTTCATTTTTACCTTGGTATTTTTCCCACTAAAGATATCTCTGGGCTTTTGCTTGTTTAGTCCTCTCCTTCCAAATATAGAGAAAACCCTAAGAAGTTTTTGTCTTTACCCACCTTTTTTAAAGGTGATTACTCTTCATGTTCACTTTTATCTTCTTTCCTTTCAGTTTCTTCAAGAAAGACATCTGAGGTGTGTGATTATCCTGTAAGACTGACCCAAATCCTGCTGGCTTGGTGAGCTCATCTCCCAGTTGCCTGATTATCTTAGAATATTGAAAAGCTCCAGTGAAGATGAAGGTAAACAGTGAGGTGGTTGTACAGCAGCAACTGCGAGCAAATCTTTAGCTAATTAATAAAAGGCAGCGTCTTCAAAGCTTGATGTCAACTTTGGGGACCTAGGTTTAAAAGGGAGCTGCTGTCTGGTTCACTTTGTATTCTCACTTCAGAGGTTGCTGCTCTGTACAATTAACACTAAGGAAATGGAGAGGAAAATATTTTTCTGCAGAAAATGCTCAGGAGACCTCCTAATACTTTAGATTCTAGCAAAGGAAATGTCTTTAGTGTGACAAAAGCACAAATGGAGCAGAGATAAAATAAGTCACTTTCAAGATGTGCATTTAAGAACTCGAGAGCAGAAAGTTACTTTGAGTAGAGACAAAATGGATAATTTTACTAGTTGTCTATCACCTTAGTTAACTATCTTTGGGGAGGAAGAACTTCTGAGATTCTAATTAGGGAGTTTTCTAAAAAACATGCTATATAAGGTTTTAGTGCTTAGTTTTTATATTATAAAAATAACGCATGCTTGCTATAAAAATTTTTAAACAGAGAAGAATATTACATTGTTTGTGGTAGGCTAGGTTATGCTGCCTGTGGTAGTCAGCTGCAAGGATGGTCCCTGGGAATCCAGCTCCTGCTATCCATGCCTTTGTGCATTTCCCATCCCCTTGAATGTGGGCTGGATTTAGTGACTTGCTTCTAACGAACAGAATAAATGTCACTCCTAAGATTAGGCTACAAAAAGACTGTGGCTTACACTTGTTCCCTCTCTTTCTGCCCCTCTCTTATTTATCCTCAAGTCTCTCTCTGGGGAAGTAAGCTGCCTTGTCATGAGCAACCCTATGGAGAGGTCATACATGTTTTTAGCCAACAGCTACTAAGGAGCTGAGACCAACAGCCATGTGGGTGGGATTAGAAGCAGATTCTCCAGCTGCAGTAGAGCCTTGAGATATCTGCTGCCTTGGCCAACACTCTGTTGGTAGCTGCGTGAGGGGTTCTGAGCCAGAACTCCTCCTGAGTTCCTGGCCTGTGAAATAATACATATCGGTTGCTTCTAGCTGCTAAGCTTTAGGGGTGGGGGTTGGGGGAGTAATTTGTTACCCTCCAATAGACAACTACTACATTAATGAACTTCCATCTCTCAGTGCCTTTACACAAGAATCCCCTCCCACACACACATATGCACACTCACACATTTTTAGTTCAAGTTGGGCATACCCCTGGGAAGCTATCTTCTGTGGGTAACAGTGATCCTGGCTGCTGCTTTTTTGTAGTAGGGAGATTGCTTGAGGGACGCTTACAACTTCAAGTGTCCCAGAGAGAAAGTGATGTATGTCACTTCTGCTTACATGTCATGGGCTGAAACCAGTTATGTGATCCCACCTAACTGCATGGGAAAATGGGAAATTGCAAAAGTATATGGATAGTCAATGAGAATTAAAGGTTTGTGCTACATGTATGGCATAAAAAGTGAAAATCCCTTTTCTCCCCATCGAACATTTCATACGTAACTGTTTGAATTGTGCTTTTTCAGATACATACACTTCTCATATAAGCACATAATTATATATATATGCACAAATAAGCACAGAGGCATATAAAATATATATGATGTATCTCATTAATATACCAAAAATATATCTAGTATATAAATTAGATATATATTTTACATGCCTCTGTGCTTATATGATTATATTTGTTATATATAGGTATGATTATATATTATGATATATGTATATGTAAAAATAGGATTAAATTTCTGCATAGAGATCTATTTCATTCTTGGTAATATCTGCTTGGTATTTCATGGTATGGAATATTAAATTTCTGCATAGAGATCTATTTCATTCTTGGTAATATCTGCTTGGTATTTCATGGTATGGAATATACCATAATTCATTTTGTTGTTTCCCGTTAATGAAGTGTAATATAATTTAATCATTTCTATGGCTACAAAAATGACTCAATAGCTTCTGATCCCTCTCGAACTTGTCCACATGCCATCATGTGCATGCACTGAAATCAGTTCAGGGAGGGAAAAAATCTTGTCTCCACCAGCACTTGCCTTACCCCATTCTTTCTGTCTGCTTAAATAAAGGGCATCCTCGTGTTTGCACCTTTTTCCTTTTTCTCGGAGGCAATAAGATATATTAGGAAACTGTTGAAGAATTAAACTTCACCAGCTATCATTTTGATAAAAAATACAAAGGACAGAAGGAACTAGCATTTATTAAGTGCAGAATACTTAGGCACTGTGCTGCACATTTATATACTGATTTCACTAGAATCTCGTTATCACTATGAAATCTGTAATTATTATTTATCTCCCACAATGAAATCTTCATCATAGGCTTTAAGCACCTCTTTTCCTCCACCCCACCACATATACTCAGCATGTAAAATAAATACATGTATTTGGTAGAAAGCAGAATTAACAAGGCTGTAATGATTGCTGCTTTTCTTAATAAAGGTACTATAAAGATCTGTGTGCCCTTTCCCAGAAGATAGACCATACATATTTCAAAAGGAAAAAGAACATGCAATGTTTGCAAATTTCCTGGGAAGATTCTCTGTCCACAAGTGTGCTAGCTTGCTTTCTAATGTTTCTATTAAAGAACAAAACAACAAATATATGTGTGTGTGTGTGTGTGTGTGTGTGTGTGTATGAAGGAAGAGAAATATGACTGACTGTCTCCTTTGGTCCATTGTTTCCACTTGGGAATTTTCTAAAAAAGCATGAACATCCTCTGCCTTTGAAGTAGTTGCCAGTTTATGTCTGTGGTTTCTGAGGATTGTAGGCAAACTCCTCTGGGTCCTTCTCTCTGACCAAGCAAGCTATTCCAGTTCAGAGGCCTGGGACTACTGGACAGCAAAATATTTCAACTTTGGCAGAGAGGTGGGGGCAGGGAGAATGATACCTGAATTTTTTATAGCATTTTCATGGATGGGGAATAGAGGGAGAGAAAACTCCCTTTACTGATCTCTGGTTTCTGGAGTTCTGCAACTTCCTTCTGTCTGCAATTCAAAGAAGTAAGGTAAGCCTCAGTCTACAGAGGGAGCCGTCTCTAATCCTGGCAGGTGCTAAAATAGTATTACTATTTCAACTTTGCAGATGAATAAACAGAGGCTGAGAGAGATTAAGGACTTTGATCCCCAGCTCTGAATAACCATTCAGGCCTTCAGGACATGTGCCTTCTTTACCTGTTTGGATTGAAGTAGGTGGTCTCTTAAGGTCTCTTAATGTTTAAAATACATTATTCTAAGCAGAGCTGTAGCCAAATTATAAACATCTAGAAGAGCTCTCCTTCAGTCCCAACACCTTGAACATTTTCTCTGGATAGCCTAAAAATAAATTCTTACTCTACAGCCCTTCAGCTGATGGAAAGATTGGAGACCTTTTAAGAGAATACTCTGCTAAAGAATTTGATCTGTTCAAAGTAAAGAAAAATTTTAACAATAGACATTTATATTTTACCATGTTCCTACAAATGAACCCAGCAGAGAGTGACGTTTCTGTTCGGTAGGTATTACGATGGGACTTGTTTTCTATGTATCTGCAGGTTCCTGGGCATTGTATGGAACCAGGAAAGGGAAATAGAAGCTGCTCTGAAAATCAATGTTAAATGGAGGTATCCATGCCCAGTTAGAAAAGCTATACAAATTAGGTTACATTAATGAACAGTTTTCCTTTTCTTGGTATTATATATTTCAAAATAGCTGGAAGAGATCTTGAAATGTCCCTAACACATAGAAATAACACATGCTTGGCCGGGCATGGTGGCTCACACCTGTAATTACAACACTTTGGGAGGCCGAGGTGGGTGGATCATGAGGTCAGGAGTTTGAGACCAGCCTGGCTAAGATGGTGAAACCTTGTCTCCACTAAAACAAAAGTTAGCTGGGCACGGTGGTGGGTGCCTGTAATCCCAGCTACTTGGGAGGCTGACGTAGGAGAATCATTTGAACCCAGGAGGCGGAGGTTGCAGTGAGCCGAGATCGCGCCACTGCACTTTAGCCTGGGTGACCAAAAAAACATAATAATACATGCTCCATGTGACAGATATCCTAAATACCCTGACTTGATTATTACATTCTATGCATGTAACAAAGTATCATATGTACCCTATAAATACACACTAATGTTAGGTATTAATTAAAAAGTCAGGTTTTCAATTGATAAATAATATCACCACAGTAATTCCAGCACCTTGAGAGGCCAAGGTGGGAGGATCATTTGAGACCAGGAGTTTAAGACCAGCTTGGGCAACATAGCAAAAACCCATCTCTATAAATATTTGCTTTTTAATTAGCTAGATATGGTGGTGCATGCCTTTAGTCCCAGCTACTTGGGGGGCTGAAGAAGGAGGATCTCTTAAACCTAGGATTTTGAGGCTCCAGTGAGCTATGATCATGCCATTGTACTCCTGCCTGGGCAACAGAGCAAGACTGTGTCTCTAAAAAAATTCACAGTGGCTCATGCCTGTAATCCTTGCACTTTGGGAGGCTGACATAGGTGGATCACTTGAGGTCAAGAATTTAAGACCAGCCTGGCCAACATGGTAAAGCCCTGTGTCTACTAAATACAAAAAATTAGCCAGGCGTGGTGGCACATGCCTGTAATCCCAGCTACTCAGGAGGCTGAGGCAGGAGAATTGCACGAATCCAGTAGACAGAGGTTACAGTTCTCCGAGAGTGGGCCACTGGACTACAGAGTGAGACTCCATCTCAAAAAAAAAAAATTAAAAATTAAGAATAGATAACAATCGGACTGAAGTATTGTAAAAATACCTTTAAAAATGAAGAAAAAATTACTGTCCCTCCAAGAATTGTTGTCATTGAGAGATATGCATGTGTGTTCTAATGTCCATTTGTTCATTCAATAAATATTTACTAAGTGCATACAATGTGTCCAACACTGATGTAGTTGCTGGGAATAAAATAGTGAACAAAAAAAGATGATATGGAGGTTACCATCACGGAGCTTTTTCATTCCAGAGAGGGGAAAGAGTTCAAAGCAATAATTAACAGAAGTAATATGTCAGATGCAAAGGATTACTATGGAGAGAAAGCAGAGCCAAAAGAGTATGGGTTGGAGGAGGTTTCAAT